TTATTTGTGCAATTAACCATTTAGTGTTAAATGCACAAGAGTAAGGACTGTTTTGTCTCCAGCACATAACATAGTGTCTCGCACCTAGTTTTTTGGAGCTTGTTTACTGATGTGTCGGTTCTGACATAATAATCCTATATACCTTTTCCAAGTTTTATCTTTCTCCCACAGAGCAACTGCTGGATTCGAACTGCCAACCTTATAGTTAGCAGCCCAACTTGAAACCTACTAAGCCACCAGAACTCCTTCTCTAGGACTTGTTAAAGTGCTGTCGAGTCAGTTCTGGCTCATAGTGACCCTGTATAGGGCGCCCAAGGGGCAGCTGGTGGGTTTGAACTGCTGACCATGTGTTTCACAGTCCAGCGCTGATCCTACAGCGCCACAACAGAAGTACTATCTAGCACCTAGTAAGTGCATGGTAAATATTTATTGGATCATTGAATTTAAAAAATGACAATTCTTTCAACTGCCTTTCATAGACTATATGGAGAGGCCTATGGGATAATAAAGAAAAAAATGGATGTTTTTATGCCTCTAATTATATGGACAGATGATCCCCAAAATGGGTTCCTAAGTACTTAAGTTATCCAACAGAAAGCAGAAATTAATGAACAATATCATTAATATCACACACGGGTTAAGTTTTGCTGAAGATAATTCAAAAACAGTTGCAGCAGTATATCAACAGGGAACTGCCAGAAATTCAGCTCAAATTCAGAAGAGAACATGGAACAAGGGATATCATTGTGTGGTGGATCTTGGCTGAAAAGAGATTACCATAAAGACATTTGTGTGGATTTTAATTTATTGTGGATAACATTGCAAATAATAGGAATTATAGAATACTTCAGCTTTCTCGTATAGCACCTGGACCTGGACCAGGACCAAGAGACAGTCAGTGGAACAGAACAAAGGGTACTACATGGTTTAAAACCAGAAAAAGTGTGCATCAGGGTTGTATCCTTTACCAGATTTATTAATTTGAATCTTGAGCAAATGTGAGAAGCTGAACTAAATGAAGAACACAACATAAGGATTGAAGGAAGACTCATTACAACCTATATGCAGATGATATAACCTTGCTTGCTGAAAGTGAAGAGGACTTGAAAAATTTGCTAATGAAGATCAAAGACTAGCCTTCAGTATATTGATTACTCAACATTAAAAAAAAAAAATCTTCACAGCAGGTACCTGTAAATAGCAGCATGATAAAGGGAAAAAATATTGACATTTTCAACTATTTCATTCTACTTGAATTCACAATCAACACTTATGGAAGCAATTCAAGAAATTGAGTGATTCCATTAGACAAATCTGCTACAAAGGGGTCACTTTGAGGACTAAGGTGTGCTTGAGCCAGGCTTCATATGATTGGGAAAGCTGAACAACAAATAAGAAAGACTGAAGAATTGACACATTTGAGTTATGGTATTGACAAAGAATATTGAGTATACCATGGACTGCCAGAAGAATGAATAAATCTGTGTTGGAAGAAGTACTGTCAGAATGCTCCTGGGAAGCAATAATGGTGAAACTTTGCCTCATATACTTAGGACATATTATCAGGAGAAACTAGTCCCTGAAAAAGAACACCATGCTTGGTAAAGAAAACCGTCATCAAAAAAAGAGGAAGACCCTCAACAAGATGGATCGATACAGGGCTGTAACAATGGGCTCAAACATGTTAACAATTATTGAGGATGGCGCAGGACTGGACATTCTGTTGCCCATAGGGTCTGTATGAGTCGGAATCAACTCCATTGCATCTAACAACTATAAATACTTCAGTGATTTGTGGAAGGGCCAGATGGCTACACTGAAGTTTTGCTAACACTTAAAAAAATATAGAAGACAAAATGCATACGATGTTTAATGTTGAGAGAAAGAGCTTAGTGTTGTAACTTAAGTTTCCATTTCCCAAGCTCTTAGGCTGTTAAGTTTCATGTTCCCCCCAAAGAAAGCAGTCACCTTATCTGCCCAGACACCCCCTCACAATTCTTTGACAACCATGTCCTGCCCCCCTTACCCATGCTACAGGATGAAAGTGCCTAGCCTGTATAGGAAGGGGGCCTTTGACTCAGGTCAGGGCCCCCTCCCAGGTTTATCTAATAAACCTGTCCTTGTTGAGCCATTCCCTTTCTGCCTCCTTCTTTTATAACTATTTTAACCTTTACTCTGACAAATGTAAATCTAGTAGATTCTGATGCAAATACTTTATAGAGAAATTTTTACATACTGTATAACTTGAAATGAATTTTGCTACAGCTTTCATGATTCTGTACCCACTTTTTGCTTGTTTGTTCATTTTGAGCATTAAAAGATAGCGTGAGTGAAAGGTTTGGGAGGCAACATAATGTAGAGATACGCCCTGAAGTTACTTCAAAATCTAGCTTTGGTCCTATGATCTTAGGTTAGTTACTTGAACTGTCTAAACCTCAGTGATCTCCTTTGTGAAATGGAAATCATAATATTATCTACCTTCAAATTCTTATGAAAATTAAGTGAGATAACGAATATAAAATATATAGCTACCTTACAAAAATGCTATTTTTCTCATTCTATAATTAACTAGAATATATCACTCACTTTGCATAGCTCTCTTCCTTCATTTTAGAATTCCCTTCTCCACCACTCCATTTCATTACCTCTCACTTTTTCTGGCTTCTGTGTGTCCCTTTTGTTATAATAATCACTTACTTCTCATTCCCTGTATATCTCTAAAATGTAAACTATTTGTGGACAGCTGGCTGTCATGGTTTTTTGTTTGTTTTTTTTTTGTATCTTCATCTCCTAACACATTTCCTGGCACATAGCATACATATTATTATTAAAGTATCAATTAATTGTGTATGTAATGAAGATAGCTTGAGAAATGCTGAGCATGTTCTTCCCTTTTGGTTTTCTAACTCTAAGTCTTTGTGTACATTTCATTATAATATTTAACTTTGTCTTCTTGAGCTGTCCATTGAAATTTTCTGTTCAGCTCTTTTACCTCCTCATTATTTCCATTTACTTTAGTATCTCTACGCTGGAGAGCAAGTTTCAGAGTCTTTTTTGACACATCTATTGTGATCTTTTTCTTCTTTCTTGTCTTAATTTTTGCTTTCTTCCTGTCTAATATTATTGATGTCTTCCCACAGCTCCTCTGGTCTTTGGTCATTAGTGTCTAATGCATCAAATCTGTTCTTGCTATTGTCTCTAAATTGTGGGATTTTTAAGGTCAAATTTTGGCTCTCATGAACTTGTTTTAATTTTTTTCAGCTCCAACCTCAACTTGTATATGAGCAATTGATGGTCTGTTCTACAGTCTGCACCTTGCCTTGTTTTGGCTGATGATATGGAGCTTTTCTACCATCTCTTCCTACAGATATAGTCAGTTTGATTTCTGTGAATTCCATCTGCTGAGGTTCATGTGTTTAGATGCCTTTTATGCTGTTTCAAAAAAGTATTTGCAATGAAGAAGTCATTGGTCTTTCAATATTCTATCATTCAGTGTCCAGCAACATTTCTATCACCAAGGTCATATTTTCCAATGACTAATCCTTCCTCTTTGTTTCCATCCTTTGCATTGCAGTCATCAGTAATTGTCAATACATCTTGATTGCATATTTGATCAATTTAGACAGATGAAGGTGGTGGTTGTTGTTGTCAGGTGCCATTGAACTCTTCAATTTAATCTTTACTGGCTTTAGTGGATGGTGTGTAAATTTGAATTGTAGTAGTTTTGACTGGTCTTCCTTGTAGGCGTGTGGATATTATCCTATCACACACAGCATTGTACTTTAAGACAGATCTTGAGATGTTCTTTTTGATGATGAATGTGACACCATTCCTCTATAATTTGTCATTCCCACCATAGTAAATCATATGATTGTCAGATTCACAATGGCCAGTACCAGTCCATTCCAGTTCATTAGTGGTGGTTGTGTGCCATAGTCAGTTCTGACTCATTGCAACCCTGCATAAAATTTCTGAGGCTCCTGTTCAAAAGCTCACTAGTGCCTAGAATATTGATGCTTATGTATTCCTTTGCATTCTGACAGATTCCAATTTTCCTAGAGTCATACTTTGTACATTTCATGTTCCAATTATTAATGGATATTTAAAGCTGTTTCTCTCATTTTGAGTGTGTCCCATCAGCAAATGAAGATCCTGAAACCTTTACTCCATTCATGTCATCACAGTCAGCTCTTCCCCTGTTGTATTTTGAGGGTCTTCTGATCTGAAGGGCGCATCTTCTGGCACTGTATACAATACTCTTGTGATACTCATAATGCGCTATCTGACAGTGTTCCACTGCTATTCATAAGGTTTTCAGTGGCTAACCATTCAGAAATATGCCTCTCCTTCTTCCTAGTCTGTCTGAGTCTGGAAGCCTAGCTGAAACATCCACCATAGTTGACCTTGCTTATATTTAAAATACCAGTAGCATAGCTTCCAGCATCACAGCAACATGCAAGCAACCACTGTGCGACAAACTAACAGACAATTTATAAGAGATTGGAACATAGTACAGATAAACAATTAGCACTGGACTAGGAACCACGATGTCCATGGTTCAAGCCCACCAGCTGTTCCATGAGAGAAAGAGGAGGCTTTCTGCTCCTGCAATTATTTAAAGCCTTGGAAACCCTATACAGGATCACTGTGAGTCAGAACCGACAACACTACAGCACTTAACAACAGGAATGATGTTGTATTTGTTCAAAAACAGTATAAAAAGTAAATTAGATTATGCTAATATATAAACCAGTTAATAAGGATACACAGTGACTGCAACAATGGTGTCAAATATTGCAGTAATTTTGAAGATGGTACATGACCAGGTAGTGTTTTGTTCCATTGTACATGGAGTTGTTGTAAGTTGGAATCAACTTGATGGTACCTAAGGACTGCAACAAAAGATATAATTGATAAGGATTTTGCTGTTTTCATATTGATTTGCATAATAAATGTAACTCTTATGATTTTCAAGTCCTGTTGACTTTGTTTTTTTATAGCTCTTGGATGAACTCCCAATGATTTACAGCTGTTGTATATTTGTATACTGCATGTAAGTACTTCAGCTATTTCATCTTAAAATGTATACTTGCCTCATAGTGAATTAAATAACCGCTACAGGTTTTTACTGGGAAATTGTAATGATAGAGGAGATTGTAATTTTTGTGATCTCAAAGTGGAGTACATTCTCTGGAAAATTATAATAATGTTTGCTGACTTCTGCAATCTCAAAACCCTGTAGCCAATTTAGATAGAACCTGACTTAATGTTAGTTAAATTGTATAATGTATCTTTTTTCTGCATGATGAATGTATACAAACTTAAAGATTTAAAATATTTTTGCCATAAAGTTTTTAGTTGAAGTCTCTATGTACTACAGTGTAAAGTTTCTTAATAGAAACTTATCTGAAAATTAAAGTACACTTGTATCAATTGTGTAGTGATTGTGTCACTTTCATCTCCTCTTTGCTTGATATCTATTAAATAGTAGATGGTAGTGTACTGGTTACGAATCAGGCTGCAAACCGCAAGGTCAGCAGTTCGAAACTAACAGCTGTTCCGTGGGAGAAAGATGTGGCTTTCTGCTCCCGTAAAGATTTACAGCTTTGGAAACCCTGTACGGGTCGCTATGAGTTGGAACTGACTCCATGCACATAAGAACATTTGTGGGGTTTTTTAATTCTCCTTATTCTAAATCAGAGTAAATGTTGTCACGAGTATCTTCATGTTCACAAGAATGGAGGAAAACAATGAAACAGCTCAAAAACCATTACCAGTTCAAAGTTCCCTTCTTGAATCATATTTCATTCACTTCAATATCTAATTAATTTGCATTTCCTGAATGTCAAGGGGAAACAAGAGATTAAAATGAGAAGATTAATAAGTGCTGGTGTTTATATATCTACTTTGTACCTGGAACTGTACTAAGCTCAACAGTTTAGTGCATTATTTCTAATTCTCTAATACAAACCATTTTATAGATGATGTGGTGTCTTGGTGTGGCACTGTAGGATAATCTCTGGATTGCAAGGTTGGTTAGAACCAAAAGGTCAGTGGTCCATCCACTCCTCAGAAACCCTATACAGGTCACTATGAGTTGGCACTTGACAGCAACAACATAGATGAGGAAATGAAGCACAAAGATTTTTAACAGTTTTCCATTTCCCAAGTAACCAGTCTCTAGAAGAACTAAACTATTCCTGTAAATATATCATGATGGAAAAAATTACAAATGTCAGAACTTCTCTCAAAGAAAATTTGCAAGAATACAAGGGGGCTTCAAAAAGTTTGTGGAAAAGAGAATTTTAAAATATTGGAATTTTCACATGAAAATTTTGAACCCCCCTGGTATTTTGAAAATCTACTTGGGGATGTGGTAGAAGTATAGCAATGGGACCCTTCCTGTAGTGTGTGATCAAATAGCAACAGATGATCACTAAATGTACCTTCTAAGGAGGGTGGGTTAGGACTTTTGAGTAAGATGTACAAGTTTGGGCTTCAGCTGAATTGCTCAGGTATTAGAGGAGAGCCTTCACACATCCCCATGAAAGTATGCTTCCTGTCTCTTTAACTGTTGTAAAAGTACATAAAGAATATGTGTTTGGAAGGGCAAAAAATTACTTGCCTATGTTGTTGTTGTTTTGGTGGTGGTGGTGTGCCGTAGAGTTGGTTCCAACTAACTCATAGCAACCCTGCATAGGGTTTCTGAGCCTATAAATTTTTACGAGAGCAGAAAGCCTCATCTTTCTCCCACGAAACAGCTGATAGTTTCGAATTGCTGACCTTGAGGTTAGCAGCCCAACTCAAAACCACTACACTAGTTTTTCCTGTGCTCTAGGCCTCTCCTACCTCATGATGAGCGAACAAGATATACTGAAAATAATTTCCAGGGTGATGCGCCTTCTGTGAATTTAGCATGTTCCCTGCTTTAACATTTTGAAAGCAGTGCCTTTTTTGACATTCACTAAGTATTGACCAAGTTTCTCTGGAGTACCAGGATGTGTGCAGGCAGTGGATAAATGGTGCTGACCAAGAGTTGTGGATCCTGCTTGCTGAGACCTACCCACTCAATGGCATTTTACAATGGCTTTCAAACATTAACAGCCAGCTCTCCTCCCAAAGTAACAAGTCTTAAATAAATTCTGTTTTTAACTTTAAAAAAACAAAAAACACTACACTATCAGCAGGGTCGCTATGAGTCATAACCGACTCCACAACACATCACCACAAGCCTATTTTAGGAACCTGCATATCTGAGTCTGGCATTAGTAACAAGGTGGAGCCACAATTTGAACCAGTTAATCTGTCTTATATGTCATAACACTGCTCCCAAAAGTTATTAGTATACACTAAAGTAATTGAAAATGTTTGTTTTTTAGTAACCATGCCACTCTTAGTTCTTATCTTTACTAAGACTGATTTTTATCCAAAAACAATAAAAGCAAGAGTCCCCGTTAATTGATAAAATTTCTATGTGACTGTTGATATCAGGACAATATCAAGTCTTGTAATCCATGACTTTGTTGTTTTCCCATTTATCTAGATGTTCTTAAATTTCTTTCAGTGATGTCTTACGGTTTTTAGTGTAGAGATCTTGCACATACTTTGTTGAATTTGTCCTTATATTTTTCATGGTTTGGGATACTATTTTAAATACTATTGCTTTTGAGTTTTATTGTTTTTCAATTTTCTAATTGTTCATTGCTAGCATTTAAAAATGTAATTGATTTTTGTATATTGATTTTTTTCTTTATCCTTTGACCCTGCTATAACATCATTTAATAGTTAAAATAGTTTTCCTATTGGTTCCTGACTTAGTTTTTAGGAAACATATGTGTTGCCTGAATAGAGAGACACAAAGTTGACCAGTTGTGGCAGTAGGTAAAGAATAGATTTCTGCCCAATATCATGGCTTTGAAAGGCTATAAAGTAGGAAAAAATGAAAAATAGTTTTCCAGAGTGGAAATAACTATTGTCTTTGAAGTCAATTTGTTCCATATTCAAATCCAAAGATTTTCTCATCTACAAAACAGAAAAGCAAACCAGCTTCTGTTAATTGGATTCCAATTCATAGCGACCCCATGTGTGTCAGTACAACTGTGCTCCATTAGGTTTTCTTTGGGCAAAATTTTAGAAGAACTTTTTAACAACACCAAAAAAATTTTTTTGCTAAAGCTAATTCAAAATCAACTGCAACATTACATTGACAGGGAACTGCCAGAGGTTCAAGCCAGATTCAGAAGAGGATGTGGGAGGAGGGATATCATTGCTGACGTCAGATGGATTTTGACTAAAAGCAGAAAATACCAGAAAGATGTTTATATGTGCTTTATTGACTATGCAGAGGCTTTCTGTTTTGTGGATCATGACAAGCTATGGCCAACAGAGCATTCAGAAATACTTAATTGTGCCCATGAAGAACCTGTATATAGACCTAGAGGCACTTGTTCATAAAGAACAAGGGAACACTGAATTGCCAGGGTTGTACTATTTCACCATACTTATTTAATCTGTATGATGAGCAAATAATTCGAGAAGTTGGATTATATGAATAAAAAAACGTGACATCAGGGTTGGAGGAAGACTCATTAACAACCTGTGATACAGATGATACAACCTTGCTTGTTGGAAAAAAAGAAATTTTTTAAAATGTTTACTAACAAAGATCAGTGTCTTCAGTATGGGTTGTACCTCAATGTAAAGAAAAGTAAAATCCTCACCACTGGACCAATAAATAACATCACGATAAATGGAGAAAAGATTTAAGTTGTCAAAGACATCATTTTGCTTAGGTCAGCCATCAACACTCATGGAAACATCAGTCAATAAATTAAACAAAGTATTGCACATCTGCTGTACAAGACCTCTTTAAAGTGTCGAAGAGCAAAGATGTCAGTTTAAGGGCTAAGGAATGCCTGCCCCAAGCCATGGTATTTTCAGTAACCTTCTATGCATGTGAAAGCTGAACAGTGAATAAGGAAGATCATAGAAGAATCGATGCATTTGAGTTATGGTATTGGAGGAGAATATTAAAAGTAGCATGGACTGCCAGAACAAATCTCTGTTTGAAAAAGTACAGCCAGAATACACCTTAGAAGCCAGGATGGCCAGACCTTGTCTCTCATACTTTGGACATATTATGAGGAGAGAACAATCCTTGGAGAAAGACATCATGCTTGGTAAATTGCGGGGTGGGTCAGCAAAAAAAGAGGAAAACCCTCAACAAGATGAATTGGTACAGGACCTAGCAGTATTTCGTTCTATTGTGCATAAGTTCGCTATGAGTTGGTACTGACTCTACAGCGTATGACAGTAACCATTAGGTTTTCAATGGCTGATATTTTTTGGAATTAGATCACCAATCTTTTTGAAGCATCTCTGGATGGTTTGAACCTCCAGTCATACCTTTCAATTAGCCACTTGCTACATCTAATGAAGACCAGAAAATGTTTATTGTTAGTTTTTGTTATCAACAGTAACAGTAATAGTTTGATACAACCCTGATGTAAGAACTTAAGTATTAGTAAATTTATTGCCCCTCGGTAATTCTGTGGACTCCTGGTGTGGTACTAAGGATCATCACTGAATTGTGAACCACAGAGTCAGCAGATCAAACCCACCAGATGCTCCTTGGAAACCCTATACAGGGTCTCTGAGTCAGAACCTACTCATTGGTACTTAACAACAAGTCTAACTCTATAAGCCAGCACTTAGAGAAAATGGGAATATTTGTTCATGGTCCATATACCTACTGTCAGACAGAAGGAAATCTGTATATTTTCTAGAATCCTGAATGAAATCTATGTACCAGGGTGAGTCAATAATTATCCTCACTCTGGTTATTTTAAAATACCTATCCACACCCACAGATGATAACAACGTTTGAAATGCATCTGTCAAGTAGATAAGTGACAGTGGAGTATATGGCAAATCATTTGCAAATTACCCAGGTCTGGCTATGAGATAATCCATGACAGACTTGGATTTTGAAAAGTTTGTGCGAAATGGATGCTGAAACAACTCACAGAAGAGCACAAACAGAATTGAGTGGACATCAGCAAACAAAATTTGGACCGACACCTGAAGGAAGGTAAAAGGTTCTTTAAAAAATCATTACTGATGATGAGACATGGATTCATCACTAAACATCAGCATATGGAATAGAAAACATCCTCAATCGCCAACCAAGAAAAGGTTCAAAAGTGAACCATCAGCTAGAAAATTGATGCTTACAGTTTTCTGGGATTCTTAAGGATCTCAGGAAAGAGGTTCAACAATCAACAGTTCTTGTTAACAGTGAGATGCTCACTGTAAGAGCTGAAGCTTTAACTACTATCCAAGAGTGTTGTGATCTCACATGACAGTTCATATCCGCACACCTTTGTCCACACTGTTGAGACTCTGCAGAAATTTCATTTTGAGGTATTGAAGCATCCTCCCTATAGTCTTAATCTTGCTCCATTGGACATTCACCTGTATGGTGCCTCCTGAAAGGAGCCCTTTGAGGACAAAGATTCACCTCTGATGAAGAAGTGAAGACAGTGGTACATTCATGGCTCGTAACTCAGCCTAAAACATTTTTAAATAAGGGACTAAGAAAGCTTGTTGACAGATGGACAAAAAAGTGTATAAAAAAGCAAGGAGATTATGTCGAAAAATCATGTATTTGTCTTTTCTAAAAGTTGATTTAAAAAAAATTCTGTAGCCCAAATACATAGAATGAACTATGTAGATGAACTACACATAAAATACATATCAAGTATGCAAAGCAATGTAGACCTTTAAACATTTTTAAACTTGTCTTGCCTTCTGTGTGCTGTGTTTGATCATTTGTGAAACATGTACTGGAAAGTCTCCTCTGTATTAGGTATGATATTAGTTCTAGAGATACGAAGAGTCAAGGAATGCATAGTGTAAAGAAGTGAACATATATGTAATATAGTGAGATAACCATTGTAGTAAGTGCAAGCTAGGCCTCCTATAGACCTTTGATTTCTTAACACATAACCTGCTCTGAGGAGATTTGAAGTAATAAACAGAAATTTCTAAATGATCGGTAGAATGCAGGTTTTGTAACCCACACATATACTACCTTTCTCATCACTGCTTAAACCACAAAGTCATAGAATTTTAAAGTAAAATCAAGTTATTTTTTGCCCTCTTTCAAGACATAAAGTCACAGAATTTAAAGGTAAAGGAGATCATCTGGCACACCCACTTCTCGTTATAGATACGAAAAAGAAGTTGGGTCCAATTCCCACAGCGAATGAATAAACTGTGCTAAGATATAGTCCTCAAAGTCTGGATAAGTATGATGGTCAAATATTTGCTCATGGTATCTCATTTACTGAATAGCTCTGTCAGGCACTATACTAGTGCCTAGATGCATGAAAAAAAAAAAAGATTTTATTACTACATACATGGAATTCATAGTCTCGTTGTGGAGCAAGAGGACTAATGAGGCGATTATAATAGAATCATCTTATTTTAAATAATAACATGCATTATCCAGGGTCCATTGGTTGCAAGATACAGAAACCTATTCAAGCCACCTTGAGTTGATTTACTTATTTTAAAGATGTTTTTGTTTCCAAGGCTGTTGTTGTGTGTTAATGTGTTGGACTGCAAAGTCGGTTTGAACCACACAGTCTGTGGCTCATGCTCACCAGCTGCTCCTTGGAAACCCTATACAGGGAAACTCGACAGCGCTTAACAACAACAGCAATCTTTACTGAAGCAGAATGCCACGTCTTTATTCCATGGAGCGCCTGGTGGGTTTGAACTGCTGACTTTCCGGTTATCAGCCAAACTCTTAACTACTGTGCCACCAGGGCTCTTCTTGTTTATTATTGTTGTAAAGTGCCTTCAAGTTGGTTCCAAGTCATAGTGACCCTGTATAGGGTGTCCGAGGAGTGACTGATGGGTTTGAACTGCCAGCCTTGTGGTTAGTAATCCACTGCTTATCCTACAGCATCACACAAGGAGTCCACTTCATTATAGTTCATTATTTGTTGTTGCTATGTGCCGTCAAGTTGGTTCCGACCCATAGCGACCCTACATAGTTCATTATTGTTGTTGTTGTTGTTATGTGCCAGGAAGTCGGTTCCGACTCATAGCGACCCTATACAGGGTTTCCAAGGCTGTAAATCTTTATGGGAGCAGAAAGCCTCATCTTTCTCCTGCGAAACAGCTGGTAGTTTCGAACTGTTAACCTTGCGGTTCGCAGCCCAATTCATAACCACTATGCTACCAGAGCTCCTTATAGTTCATTATAACTAACTGCAAATACTAACCTCAGACCTTGAGTCCATATGACTTTATGCTTTGACTCCCCATACTTAATTGATTAAGTCTTTTGGCTCCAGACTTTAGATTTGTAGTTCACAGCCCCTCATTGCCCAGTGTAAGACAGGTGTCTACTTCTGGTCCATCCAGCCTTTTGCAGGCTGAAGGCAGTGCAGGTTCTCTAAGATGAGAGTGTGGGTGGGAGAAAAGATGGGCATAATTAGATCACAGAGACACCAATGCAGACAGTAAAGCAACATAACATTTGTTTTCCTCATATATTCTAAAACGAGTTTCTTTTTCTTTTTTTTTTTAAAGGTTTGAATGTTTCAAGATGAAGAATTCCATAAACTACCATCTGCTTTTTACATTAGTTCTGTTCAGTTTAATAGTAACTATAGTAAGTTATATTTTGTTTCTATCAGGTTAAGCATGGGAAGTAGCCATTTATGGCATTTGACACAGTTTTTCCAGTGCTTGTTTTATACTGTTCAGACTGAAATGTCTCTTTATAAAACTGGGACATATCACTTATGGATATTACCCTTTTGTGTCCTGTTCAGTTGTCATTTCTTATCATAATTGCAGTAATTCCTAAAATCTGTCTACTTTTTAAAAGAGGGAAAGTAAGTATAAGTATTTAGTTATGATCAGAAAAAAATGTTACTTTTTTTTTTTTTATCATGAATGGACTTAGTACCTCCTACACATTTTGACACAGTGTGACCTTTTTAATGGCTAACCTTTTCCTACTAAATTATATAAGCTAGTCACTTCTGAGCATTCTCCAGTGCTTTTTAGTGAATTGCATTTTGTATTAAGAGAACATTCATTTCAATTTAAATCAGCATTTATTGAAACCCTGCCATGTCAGGCACTAGAAATACAAGGATGATAAAAAAGCAGTTACTATCTTTGAAGAACTCATTCTAGTGGAAAGTCAGACATGTTGATAAAGCATTACTTCGAGGGATAATAATTGTCATAATAGAAGTAAAAACTAGTTATACAGTGATGAAATAAAGGAGCATCTATTAAGACTGCATGAGTGGGTCAAGGAAAGCTTCAGAGTGGAAGCCCTGAGCTGAGTTTTAATTGATGGTTATGAGTTCACCAGAATAGGAGTATGGCAGAATATTTCTAAGTAGAGACTGTTGAATATCCATAGGCATAGAACCACGGAACAACATAGTGAACCCTGTTTTTAAGTGCTGACTATGTGTCAAATGTTGTACTGAGTACACTTATTGTAACATTCAATTATCAACGGCAGTGGAATTGGGAATGGTTTAGGAAAGGATAGTCTAGAATGGAAACATAGAGAGTGAGGAGGTATGAGTCTAGTGAATTAGACAAATGTTATTTTAAAGATCTTTGAATGCTCAGTTTAAGAATTTGGATTTTTATCCTGAAGTCAGTGTGGAGCCACTAACTGATTTAATGTAAAAGAAAAACATAATCCAATATAATGTTTTTGAAAGATTACTCTGGTTATACAGGATACATTAAAGGGGATGAGGCTAGACCCAGAGATGATGTTGTTGTTGTTAAGTGCCGTTGAGTCGGTTCTGACCCATAGCAACCCTATATAGGGTTTCCAAAGAGCTACTGGTGATCTTGAACCGCCGACTTGGAGTTCAAACCAACTTTGCAGTCCAGCACATTAACCCACAATGCCACACCAGGACTCCAATGTTACAAGTGTTTAAATCCAGGGACTTTGGCATTTACTTAGGCAAGATATGAGACTCTGAATAAAGTAAAATAGCTATATGAATGAAAAGAAGCTATCATAATCAATAGGATCTTTGGACCAACTGAGTAGAGGGGATAGAAGTAGAGTTAAAATAGAGAGTTATCTAGAACAAATCCTCAGCTTATAACCCAGTTATCAGGATATCTAGAATGACCTTAACCATGATAAGAAACTTAGAAGAAGAAAAAATTTTGCAAGAAAGATAATGAGTAAATATGTCCCATGGGAATAGAGGTGGTTATTGTAACATGCCATCAAGTTGGTTCTGATTCACAGTGACCCCATGCACAGCATAACAAAACATTGCTAGTTCCTGCACCGTCTTCATAATTGTTATGTTTGAGCCATTGTTGCTGCCACTGTGCCAATCCATTTCATTGAGAGTTTACCTCTTTTTTGCTGACCCTCCATTTTAACAAACATGATATCCTTTTCCAGAGACTGGTTCCTCCTGAGAACATGTCCAAAATACAAGACATGGAGTCTCAGCATCATCACTTCTAAGAAGCAGTCTATATTTCTGGTGATAATTTCTTACAAGACAGATGTTTGTTCTTCTGGCAGTCCATGGTACTTCCAATATTCTTCTCCAAAACCATAATTCAGATGTGTTGATACTTCTACAGACTTCCTTGTTCGTTATCCAATTTTCACATGTATATGAGGCTACTGAAAATACCATGGATTGGGTCAGTTGCAACTTTGTCGTCAAACTGAAATCTTTGAGTTCATTTGTTGTTAAGTCCCATCAAGTAGTTTCGGACTCATAGTGATCCTGTATAGGGTTTCCAAGGAGCAACTGGTGGGTTGGAACCATAGAACTTGTGGTTAGCTGTCCAGTGCTTATCCTACAGCACCACATCAGGACTACTATATGACAAGGCCCAAATATACATTTCATTCAGCTCAATCTACCTACGTGTTAAGCCTCAGATGTCATTAACAAGCACCTCAATTTCAACACATTCCAAATTGACACAGAGATCTCTAAAGCCAGTGATGATGAAACTGAAGAATTCTACCAACTTCTTCAGTCTGAAATTGATCAAACATGCAATTAAGATGAATTGAAAATTATCGGTGATTGAAGTGTGCGAGTTGAAAACAAAGAGGCAGGATCAGTAGTTGGAATATATGGCTTTGGTGATAGAAATTATGCTAGAGATCACATGATACAATATTGCAAGATCAATGACTTATTCATGGCAAATATCTTCTTTAAACAACATAAAAGAGGACTGTACACAAGGACCTCACCAGGTGTAATATACAGAAATCATACTGACTACATCTGTGTGAAGAGATGTAGGAAACCATATCATCAGCCAAAACAAGGCCAGTTTGAGGCTGTAGAACAGACCTTCAATTGCTCATAGACAAGTTCAAGCTGAAGCTGAAAAAAATGAAAACAAGTCCACAAGAGCCAAAATATTACCTTGAGCATATCCCACTGAATTTAGAGATCGTCTCAAGACTTAATGAGTTAGACCCTAATGACTGAAGACCAGAAGAGTTGTGGAATGACATCAAGAATACCATACAGGAAGGAAAGCAATAGGTCATCAAGAAGACAAGAAAGAAGAAAAAGCCCAAAATGAATATCAGAAGAGCTCTGAAATTTGTTCTCCAGTGTAGAGATGCTAAAGCAAATGGAAAAAATTAGTAGGTAAAAGAGCTGAAGAGAAAATTTCAAAGGAAAGCTCGAGAAGAAAAAGTCAAATATTATAATGAAAAGTGCAAAGATCGGGACTTAGAAAACCAAAAAGGAAAAACAGTCTGCATTTCTCAAACTGAGACAACTAAAGAAAAAAATTCAAACCTCCACTGTTAATATTGAAGGATTCTATAGGTAAAATATTGAATGATGCAGAATGCATCAAAAGAAGATAGTACCAAGAAGAAATAGTCAATGTTCAACCATTTCAAAAAGTAGCATATGATGAAGAGTCAGTGATCCTGAAGGAAGAAGTCCAAGGTTCATTGAAGGCATTGGCAAAGAACAAGGCTCTGGGAATTAATGGAGTACAAATTGAAATCTTTTAACAAACTGATGCAGCACTGGAGGCACTTATGCACTTATTCATCTAGTGGTTGTGGTGGTGGTGTGCTGGAAGTCGGTTCCGACTCATAACAACCATGTATAGTGTTTCTGAAGCTTTTTTGTAAATCTTTATGGGAACAACTTCAGAAACTTCCTCATCTTTCTCCAGTGGAACGGCTGGTAGTTTCAAACTGCTGACCTTGAGGTTAGCAGCCCAACTTGTAACCACTACGCTACTTACTTATTTATGCCAAGAAATTTGGAAGACAGCTACATAACCAACTGATTGGAAGAGATCCATATTTGTGTCCATTTCAAAGAGAGGTGATCCAACAGAATGCAGAAATCATCATGCAATATCATTAATGTCACATGCGAGTAAAATTTTGCTGAAAATAATTCAAAAACAGCTGCAGCAGTACATTGACGGGGAACATCAAAGGTTTAAGCTGGATTCAGACGAGGATGTGGAACAAAGGATATAATTGCTGACGTCAGATGGATCTTGGCTGAAAGCAGAAATAACCAGAAAGATGTCTACCTGTGCTTTATTGAATACACAAAGGCTTTAAATTGTGGGGATCATGACAAGCTATGGACAACATTGTGGAGAATGAGTACCTGGAACACTTAATTGTGTTCATGTTGTTGTTAAGTGCCGTCAAGTCGATCCCAACCCATAGTGACCCTAGGTTTCCAAAGAGCAGCTGGTGAGCTTGAACCGCCGACCTTGCAGTTCAAACGGCTTTGCAGTCTGGCGCACTAACCCACAGCACCACACCTGGACTCTAATTGTGTTCATGAGGAACCTGTTAATAGACCAGGAGACAGTTGTTCAAACAGAACAAGGGAATCCTGAATGGTTTAAAATTAGGAAAGGTGTGTGCTTTATGGATTGTATTCTTTCACCATACTTATTCAGTCTGTATGCTGAGCGCATATTTCAAGAAGTTCGATTATAGGAAGAAGAACAACGTGGCTTCATGATTGGAGGAAGACTCATTAACAACCTTTGATATGCAGATGGTACAGCCTTGCTTGCTGAAAATGAAGATAAAAGACACAGCTTTCAATATGGGTTACATCTCAATGTAAAGAAAACAAAAATCCTCACCACTGTACCAGTAAACATCAGCTTAACGGAGAAAAGATTGAAGGTGTCAAAGATTTCAGTTTGCTCGGATCAACCATCAACACTCATGGAAACAGCAGTAAAGAAATCAAGCGACCTATTGCATTAGGCAAATCTACTTCACAAGATCTCTTTTTAAAAATGTTCACGAGCAAAGATGTCAGTTTGAGGAGTAGGGTGCATCTTACCCAACCCATGGTGTTCTGCATAATCTCAAATGCATGTGAAAGTTGGACAATGAATAAAGAAGACTGGAAGAATTAATGCATTTGAGTTATGGTGTTGGAGGAGAATATTAAAAGTTCCATGGTCTACCAAAAGAACAAATTAATCTGTGTTGGAAGAAGTACATTCAGAGTGCTCCTTAGAAGCCAGGTTAACCAGGCTTTGTCTCTCATACTTCAGACATACGAGGAGAGACCAGTCTCTGGAGAAGGATATCATGCTTGATAAAGTAGAGGAAATGAAAAAGAGGAAGATCCCCAATTGTTTGAACTGGCACAGTGGCAGGAGCAATGGGCTCAAGCATAGCAACGATTGTAAGGTTGACTCTGGAACAGGCAGTGTTTCCTCATTCTGTTGTGCATAGGGTTGCTATGAATGGGTATCGACTCAAAGGCACCTAACAACAACAACAATGGTATTAAATGTATGTTCAGTCTTAAAGACATGTAACTTAATCATCCAATGACACTGGAGCCTAAATTTAGGGTTTCCAGAATGGAAATGCTTCTAAGTGAATGAAAGGTTTTAACTGTTCACTTATTGAATGCTACACACTTTCACATATTTTAGCTTATCATTATCTCCATTGTCCAGATGACAAAATGAGTCTTTAATTAAATAACTCACTATATGACATTTTCCAAGTAATTGGCAGAATTTGACATGTAACTCTTTTCTAACTCTTAGAGCAGTGTTCTTTCTACTCTAGAAAAAATGCTGCTGCAGAAATTGTCAACATACCCACTGCCCCTCCCTCCTTGCTGCTGCTACCGAGGCTAAGAGACCAGAATAGTCCACAGTAGCTACGCTGGCAGGCTAGAGCCTAGCTGGAGGATAGAGCCACCTGTAGGTAGAAACCCTGCCATGGAATGTCATGGAAAGTCTGATTGGCTTTGAATGGCTGGAGCCAGATGTTAGTAGCATGAGGAGGGAAGCAGAAGATTTTGGGGATTTGCAGAGCAGTTGGAATCAATGTTTACACCTCCATAATGCACTTCGTTCTCATGTGTTTCTTTTAATATTTTGCAGGTTTATCTTAAGGTAAAAGAACCTATATTCCATCAGGTAATTTTTTTTTAATTGTCATACATTTGATTATTTAACGATATTTGCCTGCCTTGTCTTTTTCCTGTAGATTATATATGCATGTTTGAAAATGAAATGGTTGATGCCTGGGAAACTTTAGTATTTAAAACAGGTTGCAAAATGTACATGCCTACAGGAGTCAGCTATAGGTAAATAGGAATGTACCTGGGATGGCCAACATCCAGACCCATCTAGCTGTTGGTCTTCAGTAACACATACATGCAGAAAAACCAAGAAGCAATGCACACAGTCTTTTTTTATGACATTATGATCTAAAATAGGTACCTAACAGAAGACAGAACTGAATACTTTAAATATTGTTTTCTAATATACTTGAATAAGCTTATCAAGGTGAGAGATTTATATACATTGAAGTAACCATACATAGGAAACTTTTGTTGTTAGAAATGATGATTTAAGTATCTCCCATCATGAAGCCAGGTGAAATAAAATGGCAGTCTCCAAATAAAGATAGCTATTGTTTATTGAATGTCAACCATGTACTTGGTACTATGTTCATTACTACACAGATGTTTTCTCTTTATCTAATCTTCCCAACAGTCCTACAAATTAGGGTTTATTATCCACATTTTAGAATCCTATTGTGGTGCTGTACAATAACCACTTGCCTGCTAACCACAAGGTCAGTGTTCAAAGCCACCATCCACTCCTCAGAAACCCTGCACAGCATCACTATGAGTCAGAACCAACTCTACAGCATTTAGTAACATAATGTAACTGCCCTGTAGCAATTTCCAAGTGTTCTCCCAATAATAAATTTTTCCTTCTCTATATATAGTGGCTATGATTGCTGATAGGAAAGAATGTGGGATGTTCACTATGGCTTAAGTCCTAGGCCTAGAGACTAAAACTTAAGATAGAGAAATGAAGGACCAAGGGGATGCTAGGGTAAAGCAGGTAAGTAATCTGCAGGTGGAACACATGCATACATTCAACACTATGTGCCTTCTGGGTTACCAAATTCTGAGCTAGAAGTAGAAACAGAGAAGCAATAATATACCAAAAACTTGTAGATCTGTAGTCAGATCTGGATTCAAATCTAGTGCCCCTGGACAAGTTATTTAGCATTTCTGAGCTTGTTAGCCTACAAAATTTTAAATGCCAATCTCTGCAATTGGTACGGAGATTTATTAGCAAATAAAGTAAAAAGACCCCCTGCTTTCAAGGAGCTTATTATTGTACCTCATCTCTAAAATTAGCATAATAACCTCCTAAGATTGTCTAGAGATTAAATGAGGTAATACATAGAAATCCTTTTGTACACACTATGCATTCTGATATGGGGCTGTAGGATAACTGTTCAGCCTCAAGGTCTGTTTGATCTACAAGGTCAGAGATTTAAACTCACCATCTGCTCCTCAGAAACCATACACAGTGTCACTAAGTCAGAACTGACTCCACTGTATGTATGTATGTATGTATGTATGTATGTATGTATGTATGTATATATATATATATATATATATATATATATATATATATATACATTATATGTTGTTGTTGCTGCTAAGTGACCCTGCATAGAGTTTCCAAGGTGGGTTTGGTTAGCAGCCTAATTTTTAATCCTACAGCACCTTAGTTGCCATCAAGGTGATTCTGACTCATAGTAACCCCATGTATGCAGAGTGGAACTGCTTCCTAGGTTTTCAAGGCTGTGACCTTTTAGAAGCAAGTAGCCAAGACCATATGCTGAAGCACATATGGGTGGGTTTGAGCTGCCAATCTTTCCGTTAGTAGTTCAGCAATTAACCATTTGCAGCACCAAGGGACTTCTTTGCAGTATATAAATCTTGTAACAAATATGTAAAAGATGCAGTGTTATGTAAGATAAGAACACTCTCTTTCTTTAGATGACTCAGAGCGGGATTACAGGCGAGTCTTGAAGGGCAAGCAGGATATCACCAGGTAGACAAGTTAGGGAAGGCTATTCTACTTAAATCATGTGTAAAGGTTCAGAACTGGGCATTGGTAAGTCTTGCACATGACACAAGCACACAGTTCCCCCAAGGTATGTGGTAGCATACTGGGGTATTTACAAAACCACAGACTGCATATACATGGTTCGCTTTTCCAGAGCTATTGGGGGATTAAACATTTAAAGTCAAACAAATGTAGATCTGTTGCAGAATAGAATTCAATCACCACATGGGTTTTTTGGATGAAATAAAAAGTTCATATTTCCATTGCGCTTTTCTGGGCTCTACCCCTCAGGAATAAGTCATCTCACCTCTGCTACTGAAATATTTTGTTAGAAATGTTTAAACAAAAAAGCATTGTTGTTGTTGTTGTTAGGTGCCATTGAGTCGGTACCGAGTCATAGCGACCCTAAGCACAGCATAACAAAACACTGCCTGATCCTGGGCCAACCTCACTACTGTTGCCACACTTGAGCCCATTGATGCTGCCACTTTGCTAGTCCATCTCACTGGGGTCTTCGTCTTTTTCTCTGACCCTCCACCCTACCAAACATGATATCCTTCTCCAGCGACTAGTCCCTCCTGACAATATGTATAAATATTTTAAGTCTTCTTCACTTTCAGCAAGCAACTTTGTATCATATAATTCTTGGTAGTTTTTTGCATAGAAACTTTGAAAATCTGTTTGGAATTTTTGGGGGGTGGATTTTTTTAAGCAATAAGAAAGAGTTACAATAATTTTCATCATCTTATTCATCATCTTAAAACTATGAAAAAGGGGTAAGAAAGCAATATTGTCCAATCTAAAGGAACACTGGCTTGAGAGTTTGGGATCTTGATTTCTTGCCACTTTATATCCATGGACAATTTTCTTGCTGTCTGTTTTTCACTTTCCTCATCTGTAAAATGTTCAAAACAAAGTGAGGTATTATTTCACAAGGGTAATATTGAAATAAATCATTAATATAAGAGATGCAAAGCAATAAAAGTATTAAGATATAAGTGCATATTAAGTATATACTCAGCTATAAGATGACCTGGAGTGCATATGATCAATCTGGGAAAGCTGCTGAGTGGAGGTCTTTGAATTAGGCTTAGGAGAAGGTAAGTGGGTGTGTGCTGTCAAGTCAGTTCCAACTCCTAGAGCCCCTCTATAGGGTTTCTGAGAGTGGCTGGTGGACGTGAACTTCTGACTTTACTAGTCCAGTGCTTATCCTGCATCACCATACTAGTGCTCGGGAAGATAAATAGTAAAATAGAATTAAAAGGCAGGTATCTATAAGTATCTGCATAGCCAGCAATATTGTCTTGCCAATAACTTCCCTGAGGGAGAAAATACTGGTAACTGTTCTTTTTAACTGTATTAAATCTAAGGTAATCTAAACATCTGTAAATGAGATTCCAATGCCACTTACTTAATTTGATGGCCTTGCAAAGGGTAATACTGAAATCACATAGCTGTCACATTCAATAGAAACATCAGTATATCTTACGACAAGAAGGCAAAAAGAAAAACATACTTGAGAGTAAATAAAAAGACTATTTAAAAAGTTAGCGGACCCTTTATAAGCAGCTAATCACAAATTAGTAATTGAATATCTCAGGTGAGATTTTACCAGATGTCTCCAAGAGTCTATTGCTTAAAATGATGTCTCCTGAAGATTGCTTCTAGACATGACATCAGTATTTGATTACATTTCCCTTCCAATTTGATCTTCAAGATTTGAAAGAAGGAGCATACTATATAAATAACATGCTTTGGAAAACAGGAATATAAGCAGATTTCTGTCGATTTTATTCTGCTTTATTCCATTTGTGCCATTTCATTATAAATTATAGGGATATAAGGAAATTCTGCAAGCACATTTGGAAATATGAAGGAAAGGAAGCCAATATTTTTTAGTATCTGTTATATGCTAAGTAGAGTCCTGGTATTATACTTAGCATAAGCACTAGACTACCAGCCACAAGCTGGCAGTTCAGACCCACCAGCCGCTCTTAGAAACCCTATTCAGGATCACTGTGAGTCAAAACCAACTTGATGGCACTAAGTATTGTATATTCTTTAACATAGTTTATGTAGTTTGACTTAACAGTTATCTGACTAAAATATCAACAAGCCTGAACAGAAATTAACATCCTCAGAAAAGTTAAGTAATTTAAATGCTCTGGACTACAAAGTCAGATTGAACTGCAAATTCGGTAGTTCAAACTCACCAGCTGCTCCTTAGAAACCCTATACAGGGTCTCTATGGGTCAGAACTGACTCAATGGCATTTAACAACAACAACAACCTAAATATGGCAATGTTTCATTTTAAGTAAATCAGAATATAGATATCAACTTTTTAAATTGCTGAAATCCAAACATAAGTGAAGCACTGTGGGAATAAAAAGAGAATGAATGATTTCCGTTGAGGATTTTAGGAAGGCCCCACGTAGGAGAGGCACTTGAGCTGGATTTATTTAATCCCAGAACTCTGTCATGGATTATTTTATCACTTCTTCCCACACAGTAGAGTTCTGGGGGATACTATTGGGGTAATCCTGTGCGAAAGTACAAGACGCTGTAGAACAGATATTAAGAAAGGAAGATGGTAACTAAATTGTGAAAAGCACTGAATGCTGTGGCCTTTTGCCATTGACTTTGTGACATCTATTCTAGATAATGTTGGCAGTTACATGTAGGATGGATTAGAAGGCTATACAGCATGGACAGAGTTAGGATTTTAACCAGTCCTGATATGATATATATATATATAAACTGTTTTACAAACAGACAACATTGTCTTTGTAGATTATGAAATTCTTCTATGAAGTTCTATTCTATATTTAACTTATTACCATTTTTTGTTATCTAATTATGTAGTAGTCCTGGTGTGGCACCATAGAATAAGCACTTGACCTCAATGTCAATTTGAACCACAGTTCAAATTCACTAGCCACTCTTCGGAAACACTATACAGGGTCACTATGAGTCGGCACCATCGCAGTGGCACTTAACAGTAAAAACAGTTATATAGGAAGCACCAAACTTTTAGCTTTATCACTTGAGAGTAACCTATATTGACTTCTGGGGAAAAAAATGCCTCTTAAATCTATATTCTTATTATAGCTATAAAATAGCAAAACAGTCATCTAGTTTTGTTCCTGCATTTTACAAGTGGGAGTGACTTGTTCAAGGTTATATTCCAGTTGCTGCTCTCAAGTTGATTCCAATCCATAGTGACTCCTACACATGGTGGCTGTGAGTTACAACTGACTTGATGGCACTTCACCACGAATCGGGCTGTGAACCTTAAGGTGAGCGGTTCGAAACTACCAGCCGCTCCGCAGGAGAAAAATGAGGCTTTCTACTCCTGTAAAGATTTACACCCTTGGAAACCCTGTACAGGGTCGCTATGGGTCGGAACTGACTCGATGGCACTTAACAACAACACAACAACATCACCATATGTATATGGCAGATTAGAACTGTGCTATATAGGAGTTTTTGTGGCTGACTTTTCAGAAGATTGCCAGGCCTTTCTTTCTATGTGTCTCTGAGTGGACTCGAACCTCCAAACTTCCAGTTAGCAGCTGAAATATTAGCCATTTGTACTATCCAGAGACTCCTCAAGGTTGTTTAGTTTGGTGTAGTAATCAGATGATAGAAAAATCTAGATTCCCCCAACGATAGCCACAGCATTAAAGGTACACTAGTTCATCTATTTGGTTGTCAAGAATGTAATGAGTGAGGACATTACAAACTCAAGCTGCCTAAGTATTTTTACCTATCACCTCTGCGTGTTTCCCCTCATTATCACTTGTCCACAAAACCCTAGGGTCATCTCCTACTCTGGTGAGCTGCTCTTGACATGGGTGAACTCATTCTATTAGAATGAAAGGCTAGAGCTCCCTCTGGAGGTTAGAGTATGAAGCTATTAACGCGATGGATTCGAATGTAATTCTCTAGTTTTTATTTAATATCAAGCTTCTTAAAAAATTCCATATGACTTCTGACATTATTTATTTACAAGCGGGCTCTGAATTACTCCTCTGAGATTGACATGAGTCTTAGTTAAATAATATTTAAAATTTTTTCTCTTTAAAATGTAATGAGAGAAACAAACAGCTCACATTAGAAACCACATGGGCGATGTCACAACAAAACCAAACGAAATCAATAGGATAATAACAGAATACTATGAAGAGTTGTACTCCAACAAATTCAAAAACTTATATATTTCTAGAAAATGTAATGAGAGAAATGTTTACATTTAGTCAGAGGGCTGTTCTTATAGGCAGAGCACACTTTCTTTGCCAAAGAATAATGATTGACTGACTTCATTTTCTTTTCTTATTCAGGTCATGTATGGAATGTTGGTCTTCACATTAGTACTACGATCTATTTATATTGTTACATGGTAAGTAGTTTGGCTCATCAACACTATGATTAGTATATTATCAGACTTGTAGCAGTAAGACTATAGCCTAAATTTAACACAATAATAACCCAGCTGCAGCAGGGATGTTAAAAAAAACACAAAAACTTATAGTCCAGCATTTAGTATGGCATATCACAAGGAATGGTAGTTTTTCAAGCAAGTTGTTAACAGGCATTACATGAAAAGAAGAATTCTAAAATCAAAGGAAGATGATAGCTTCCTTTTAAATATTTATAGGATATATTAATATACTTTAAAACTTGAAAAATCCTGTTTTTCAAACATTCTTAAGTAGGGAGATCTTTTACATAGCATTTCTCAAGGAAGGCTACTGAAGTCACGAAGAATCATTGTTCCATAAAATACTATTTTAGGAATGAACTTAATTTTCGTAAAGTTCATAAAGATTAAATCAGAAATAACATTTATGTAAATTGGCTCTGACAATTAAACAAGTGCTCAGTAAGTAAAATAGTATGATAGTATGTTGTCATTTTAAATTTTAATTTTGAAATAATTATAGAAGCACATGCATTTATAAGAAATAATATAAAGAGATTCCTTGTACCTTTTACCTAATTTCTTCTAATATAACACAGCAACTAGGATTTACCATTGGTAGATACAGAACAATTGCATCACCATCACTGTCCTTGCATTGCCCTTTTATAGCCACACTCACTTCCCTTCTGCCTTTCCATGGCCCTCTCTTCTTGTCCCATGACCTTAGCTCTGGGCAGCCACTATCTGTTCTCCATTTCTATCATCTTATAATTTCAAAAATGTTATATAAATTGGAACCAGATATATTCTGCTCCTCAGTTACCAACTATCTCATTATTCCGAGATTTGTATTTGTAACAACTTTTAAGCATTCTCAAATGGTTCCACTAATGATCCAGGCCCAGGAGCTCTCCATGAATCACCCCAAACAATATATTAGTGGCCCCAGCAGTGACACAAGGGACGGGCCAACTAGTCAGGGGACACTTTCTCCCATTCATCTTCAACATCTTAGTCTAGCCACAGAGAGTGTGGGGTAATAGTGGGAAAATGCAAGGTCACAGACATGTAGGAAGAAGCCAGTTGAAGTACCAAAGGTGCTGAGGAAGTCAGTAATGGAAAGTGTGAAGGGCCACGTGGGGCTGTAGGGCTAGAATGGATGGAGAACAAATGGGATCCCTTACCAAGGCAGACAGTGGGTGGAGGATTAATAGAGTCCCCGCTCAGGATAGGAGTCTGCGAGCAACACCCAACCACCACCACTCCCAATTCCTACTCCCCACAAACTCCATGATGGTGGGGAAAGTATTGTGGGGGTTATGGCCCTGCCACATCACCTACAATGCATCCCAAGACACAACAGAGATGCACGACAGGTAGTGAGTAACCAGTTGGGGACAGCAACATTAACTGTCACGTAACTACCTTGTCTTTAGAATCTAACCATGTTGGTAAGTGAAAAGTGAGCATGTAACCTTTAGATTGCCTTTTGCTCTCAATATATAATTCTCTTGAGACTCATCCAAGTTGTTAAGTGTACCAATAATTCACTCCTTTTTGTTGCTGAGTATTATTCATGGGTATAGGTATACTACAGTTGAACCATTCACCTGTTGAAGAGCATCTGGCTTTCTGGTTTGGGGCTATTGTGAATAAAGCTGCTATAAGCATTTGGGTATAGATTTTCGTGTGAACATAAATTCTCATTTCTCTGGAATAAGTGCCCAGGAGTAGAATTGCTAGGTTATATAATCTTTGCAAGTTGATTTGTTTCCTTTTTTTTTTTTAAGTTTTTATTGTGAACTGAGTGATAGTTTACATGGGATGCTTTATACCGTTGTTTCAATTGCACTGATTACAATCTCCGTGCATCATTATTCAATAGTATTTGCTTCTATTCCCTTTGTTTTTTTTGTTTTGTGTGTGTGTTTTTGGCAGGGGTATACAAAAACACTCAGGAATATTTAAACAACCAAAGGGTATATTCTGCAAGCCTGCCTCCTGCCAGCACCCAGTTCCTCTCTTTCCACAGACCAGAGATTTGTTTCCTTTTAAACTTCCAACTGCTTTCCAAAGTGGCTATAGCATTCCCAGAAGCAATATATAAGGTCAGGTTCTCTACATCGTCACCAGCATTTAGTGTTGTCACTGATTTTATATCTTAGTAATTCTAATACATGTGTGAGTCCTGGTGTACTGTTGGATAAGTACTGGACTTGTAATAGCAAGGTCGGCTGTTCAAACCCATCAGCCTCTCTCAGAAACACCCTATACATTGTCATTATGATTCGGAACCGACTTGACAGCATACAGCAACAACAGCAGCAATAGGTGTGTAGTGATATCTCATTAGAGTTTTAATTTGCATTTCCTTATTGACTAAAAATGTTGAACATCTCTTTGGGTGCTTATTTTCTATCTGTTTATCATCTTCAAAGTATTGTCTGTTGGTGTCTTTTGCCCATTTTCTAATAGGATTATTTCTTTGCTTTGATGGTTGGGATTTGAGTTATTTATGTTCTAGATACGAGTTCTTTGTCAGATATGTGATCTGAGTATATTTTCTCCTGCTTTCTACCTTATCTTTTCATCCTTTTTACAGAGCAGATTTTGATGAGGTCTAATTTATGTCAATTTTCTTTTATATATTATGCTTTTACTGTCAAATCTAAGAACTTGATGCCTAGCCCTAGATTCCAAGATTTTTCTCCTGTATTTTTCTAAAAGTTTGTGTCATCTTACATTTTATATGTAAGGCCATGGTTCATTTGAGTTCATTTTTGTGTAAGGTTTGAGGCTTAGGTTGAGGTATTTTTGTGGTGGTGGTTTTTACCTATGGATGTCCAATTGCTCCAGAACCATTTGCTGAAATGCCTGTTCTTTCTCCATTGAATTGCTTGTGCAACTTTGTTAAAAATCTGTGGATCTTATGAATATTTCAAGGTCTACCCTGAAGTACAGTGCTGTGGGTGATAGGATAATATCCATCTACTTACAAGGAAGACCAGTTGATAATGGCTGCTATTCAAATTTACACACTAACCACTAATACCAACGATGAAGGAAGACATTGAAGATTGTAACCAATTTCTTCAGTCTTAAACTGATCAAGTGTACAATCAAAATGCATTGATAGGTACTGGTAATTGGAAGGCAAAAATGGAAAACAGAGAACTCAGTAGCTGCAAAATATGGCTTTAGTGATAGAAATGACAGGATTGCATGATGGAATTTTGCAAGATCAATGACTCATACATTGTCAGTAACCTTTTTCAACAACATAAACTGTCTACACACATAGACCTTGCCAGATGGAATATACAAGAATCAAATTGACTCCATCTGTGGCAAGACAGTATAGAGAAGCTCAGAAATCATCAGTCAGAACAAAAATAGAGTTAACTGAGGAAGAGACCCAGACCATCAATTGCTCATGCAAGTTCAAGTTAAAGCAGAAGAAAATTAAAACATCCACAGGAGCTAAAATACAACCCTGAGTACATTGTTGTTGTTACGTGCCATAAAGTCAGTTCCTACTCATAGCGACCCTGGTATAGGGTTTCTGAGAAGCAGCTGGTGGGTTTGAACAACAAACTTGTGTTTTACAGTCCAGTGCTGATTCTATAATGCCACACCAGGAGTTTGACCCTGAGTACATGTGCTACCTGAATTTAGAGACCATCTCAGTAAATGATGTGATTCGTTACACACTAATGACTGAAGATCAGATATGAGATATGGGATCATATCAAGAACATCATTCATGAAGAAAGCAAAGGGTCATTTAAAATGAAATGAAAGAAAATGTGTGGATAGTTTAAAAAAAAAAAAATGAAGTTCAGAAGAGACTTGAAACTTGCTTTGAAACATAGAAAAGCTAAAGCTACTAGAAAAAATTATGAAAAGAGTTGAACAAAAGATTTTAAAGGGCACTTTGAGAAGACAACAAGAAGCATTATAATGAAATATGCAAAGACCTGAAGTTTTAAAATCTAAAGAGAAGAACATGCTTAGCATTTCTCAAGCAAGAACTGAAGGAAAAAAATTAAGTCGCTAGTTGAAATATTGGAAGATTCTGTAGGATAAGCATTGGGCTAAAAACCACATGGTTTTTAGCTAAACACCACATGCAGTTCAAGCCTGCCAGCTGCTCCCCAAGAGAAAGTTAAGGCTTTCTGCTCCAACAAATTTTTTTTTAAAGATCCCAGGAACCCCATACAAGGTTGCTATGAGTTGGAACTGACTAGATGGCACTTAACAATGATATAGGCAAAATATTGAGCAATGCAGGAAGCATCAAAAAAGATGGAAGAAATGCACAGTCGTGGTACCAAAACAAATTGGGCTCTGTTCCGTCTTTTCAGGTAGTAGAATATGATCAAGAACCAATGGTATTATGCATGGAGGGGATTGGAACATGGCAATGAGATGATATACGATGGAATGAATGTAAAACTAAAGTTTTCCCATGTAAACTATCATATAATTCACAATAAAACATTAAAAAAAAAAATAATAACCAATGGTATTGAAGGAAGAAGTCTAGGCTGTACTAAAGGCATTGGCAAAAAAACAAAGAATTGACAGAATATCAGTTGAGATATTTCAACAAATTGATACAACGCTGGAAGCACTCACTCACTCAGCTATGCCAAGAAATTAGAGAGCTAGCTACCTGGCTAAATGACTACAACTCCAAATTTGTACAACTCCAAAGAAAGATGATCCATCAGAATGCTGAAATTCTTGAACAATATTAATATCACACACAAGTAAAATTTTGCTGAAGTTAATTCAAGAATAGATGCAGCAGTACATCAACAGAGAATTACCAGTAATTCAAGTCAGATTCAGAAGAGGACATGGAACAAGAGATATGCTGAGGTAAGATGGGTCTTGGCTGAAAGAGAATACCAGAAGAATGTTTACCTGATTTTTTTTTTTTTTTAAACTATTCACACATTTGACTGTGTAGG